CAGGAAGGTGGAGTATATTGCAGGACTCATAGGAGTGGTTTGAGAAGTCTCTATGGGTGTTTTGATACTGTATTACTGCAGTTAAACCATGTTGCTATTTGAGTACAGTGTACGGGACATACATTCAAACTGACCGCACCCCAGCGTCTGTTCTCTGAAAGAAGAAACTAGCAACATGTAAGAGCTACCTTTCACGCTCACAGGATTAAAGCATAATAAAACCATAGTTTTACTTGGTATATCCCTATACAGTTTGTATAATATTGGCAACATTCAAATGTTTCATTGTATTACATGCTATCTATCATCATTAAGAAATATATGGAATTAACTATAAATATTTTAGCCACATTGCTAGTCTGACTCTGCTTACATATCTCAAACTTACAAACTAGCTAACTGTACTAGTTGTCTTTAATTCCCCTTTATTGCTGGTGGCAGTAGGTAAATATAGGACCAACTTACTCAATCTGCCAAGGCTTTGGACTCTCCCACTGAATCACCCCTCTCTGACCCCCTAGCTCTTGCCCACGGAGAACACATTTGTTATGTCTGTTTGAGCAGGGAACAGAGCCAGACAGTTTCCAAGAAGTTCAGATAAGAGGGAGGTAACTGATTTGTTGCTCGATGATCAGCATCCGATTAGCTATTCAGAAAAAGCTGCAGAACACATCTGTGTGACATGCATAGTTCATCTTAATATCACAGCCTGTTCCCTGCCCATGTGTACGACATTGAAGTGAGCACAGATTGGTCTGTAGTACAAACAGGCACTTTTCTATGTAGCCTTGGAGATTGTGGTGTTTCAGGAATAATTCATTTGTCGGAATGTGAACATTTAAAGCAGTTTGATACAAAGTCATAGTGCATCTAAACATTTCTGTAGGTCTCTGTGTTGTGGTGAGATACAGAAACAAAAGCAACTGCAGAGGTCTTTGTTCTAACTGTAAGATCCTGTTATTGCTACTGTACTTCATCCACTACTGAATCCAGAAGCATGGACTCAAGGACGCTCCGCTGTGCGTTTCTCACTTGGTGGTGGCTCTCTGAATCATGCTGAATGCTAGCCAGTTGTGAGAGGCAGATGGAAAACACCAACCCTGCCCTCTCTCTAATCCTGCCACTCCCTGCTATCCTCCTCCTACTTAATAATAATAATAATAATAGATTTAATTTGTTAGCGCTTTTACAGGTGCTCAAAGACGCTTTACAGATAATAGTGAAGAGAAAAGAAAAGAGAAAAAGGAACAACAAATAAATATATAGTTAAAGTTAAAGTCAAATAAATAATACAAAAACAATCACACATTAAAAGCCAGATTGAAGAGGTGAGTTTTTTGAAGGTGGTGGGGGAGGGGGCAGCGACGGAGAAGGCTCTGTCCCCCCAGGTCCGGTGATTGGTGCGGGTGGGGATGGATAGGAGGTTGGCTTCTGATGAGCGGAGGCAGCGGGAAGGGGTGTGGTGGTGCAGCAGGTCTGTGAGGTAGGGGGGGGGCCTGATTGTTGAGGGCTTTGTGAGTAATGAGCAGGACTTTGAAGTGGATTCTTTGACGGACGGGGAGCCAGTGGAGGTTCTGGAGGATGGGAGTGATGTGGTCTCGGGAGCGGGTGTGGGTGAGGAGGCGGGCAGCAGAGTTCTGGATATGTTGGAGTTTATTGAGGAGGTTGGATGGTATGCCATAGAGGATGCTATTGCACTAGTCGAGTCGTGAAGGGATGATTACTTGTCCACTTCTCCAGGATCTCCAGAAAAAGAAGTGCTCTCAGAACCAGAGAACCATCTTGAAGTTTTCATCAAGGGCTTTCTGAGTGAGCCTTGGGGGGAATGAATTAGGAGAGATCACAATTTGTGGTAGACAAGTTCATTTCTGGCTTAATAAAGATTTAGCAGAATATCTGTCTTTCTTCTTTTTGTCACCGTGTGTGTGTGTGAAATGAGGCTTACCTCACTACTTTCACTGAGGGCCCCATTTGGAATTACCATTACAAAAGTTTGTGTGCACTTAGTTCAGTGTGAGAGGGACAGCCGTGGCAGGAATTCCAGACTTCCCTCTCTTTTTCCCCGTTTTATCCCAGCAAGTTATTTCAAACACGAGGCCTGAACCCTCCAACAACCCCGTTAGCCTCCGCTCCAAAGCCCACCATCGGAGAAACTGAAAAAAAAGAGTCGGGCAGAGAGTAAACACTTCCAAAGCCGGACTGTAAACAACAGTGTTGCTCATGTTTTCTGCTTTTACCTCACAGGAGGTTTCTGTTCTGTTTAGGATGTTTTTTGATGAGCTTCCCCCTCAGCAGAGCCCTTAACCCCAACATCACCCACACATGTGAGTCTATGAGTCAAATCGGTGATGAATCACTCAGCCTGTCAGCCATGACTCTCATTTATCAATGACACATTTGGGCCGGTCTTTTAGTCGAGAATAGAGAATGGCACTGCTGAAAAGAAAGGAGACAAAAAAAAACCCACCAAGGTAGCTGGAACTTCCAACTTGAAAGTAGGCTTAAAAATAAACATTTTCCAGGCAATAACATGAGTTTCATCTAAAGTTTTGTGTTAAAAAACGATATCTAAATGCTTTATATCATCCAAACAGAGTATTGGCACGTCAGAATACTCATTTTCCTTCTTTAAGTGTGAAGTGGAAGGCAAGCCTCAGCAGCCATATAAATAGCTCTGACATGAGAGGGCCACATTATAGAACTCACTGTTTCTGGATCAAAGTGACTCATGTCTGACACAGCTTATGGTCTGTGTGCATCTGCAGTAAATCCGTTTTTTTCTTGAAATATGCAAACTGAGTAATCCAATAAGTAGATTATATTTTCTGTTGTGAGTAGCACTACACAGTAGGGATAATGTGTTCTCATGTTTAGAGCCCATACTTTGCGTCTTTGTTGTTCAATCTTTTGAAGTATTTCCCCTCAAAGCTGCATCGTGTTGTATTTACTTAAAGGGGACCTATCATGCAAAATGCACTTTTGTACGTCTTTTATACATGAATATGTGTCCCCGGTGTGCCAGGGAACTGCCAAGGCACACGAAAACACAACCCTCTCTCTTTTCCTCCATACCCAAATCTCTAAAAAAGGGGCTGCAACGGATCTGATACAGACTGATACAGATTTGAAATATCTCATCTAAAAACAACTTCACAGACATGTTTTATATAGGTATCGGCTAGAGATGTCCCGATCCGATCACATGATCGGGGATCGGAGCCGATCACGTGATTTTCAAAAGATCGGAATCGGGACAAAAAAATCGGGGATCGGATTTTTTTATTTTTATTTATTTATTTTTTTTAATTTTTTTTTTTCCAATGTTACAAAACAAAAATGACCATGTTCAAGTCTTAAAGTCATCCTGAGGCCTTAGTTTTGGTTTCAAATTACACAACATCATGTATGTGTTGCTTCTTTGGGGCTTGTTTTCATAGACCTGGTTGCTTATTTCTCTCAAATCTGGCAACAGAGTGGGCAGGGCGCAGTGTCTAATTGTAGCAGTAAGCTAACGAGTACTGATAAGCTTTATTTTGTTTTGATCCAATGCTGCACAACTGAACTGATCCAATGCTGCTGTGAAAGAAAGAAGCTATATCCATGTTGGATAGAATATCCAATTTAAATAAAAAAATAGCCTTAAGGGACAACTTGAATGCTTTTTTTTCTCTTAATGCATTGCATAAAGATCGGATCGGGAAAAATCGGTATCGGCAAATTGTCAAAATCAAATGATCGGAATCGGATCGGGAGCAAAAACAGGTGATCGGGACATCCCTAGTATCGGCCCTACAATATATTATTCAAATATAGCATGATAGGTCCACTTTAATTTAGATGGTAGGGCCTACAATAGATGGATTTGTGTACAAAAATGAAGTGACAGTTGCGTTGCTGAGTTTTGTGAACGGCATTCATGCGGGATGACTTGAAATACCTACACAAAGGATTTATGTATTTCTGTAAAGATTTGAGGCCTATAATATGTGCTTATCAGCCTTTTGTTTGTTTTTCCCGTTATTTTATTTCTTGGAGAAGGAAAATAGTTTAGTTGTATATTACAAAGAATCAATTTTCCTTGGTTAAACAAACCACACTACACAGTCAGGAGTAAACACATCCTTTATTGATCTATTGTAGAACTATTCTCAAAGAAAGTGGTTTGTAGTTTATTTTTCAAGGTTGATAATTATGCCATCATTTTTGCTTGCTGGTCCTCAATTACAGAACATTGTTAACATAGAGGTTAGATTATCTGAAATGTGAGTCATTTTCACATCTGTCATCTAAGAAGGCCTCTTTTTTTGTTCCACCACAGTGATATTAAATGTTTTTAGTTGTAATTATCTCTGAAAAGTCACATTTTTGCCCTTGTATCATTTTAGCGTGACACTGATAATGGTAGGTATTTTGAATTGCAGGATGGCTGTCATCACATTTGATTAGTCTTTTATCATTAATGCATTTTATCACAATCGAAGCTGCTTCATTAACCAATCAATGTACCTTCTGATACAGTTTTTAGTAATATGTGTTATGTCCATGTGCCTAACAGTTGGTGCTCCATAAACTCTCATGCATATGTAGTTTTACGTGTGGGAAAGTGCAGTTTCATTGAAAGTTTATTAATTGTGCAATCTCCACCATCAAGCACCTTTTACCTTGTTACAGTGCGTGTGGTTTTAACCATCTAATGCTTCTTAAATCACTACATCTGGTTTCCCTTTTTTATGTCTACCAAGCCCAACAAATATTTGTTCCTTCCAAATAGTACACGTTCCTTTTAAGCATCCTGTTTAATTCTGGGAAATTAAATAATTTATATTAAACTTTGAGTTTCAGAAGTAATGTACATTTAAATATACAAACTGATAAAGATGGTTATCTGTTATGAGCCACTGTCGATGTTGGGAATCCGCTCTCTGTACATACATTGAGCACATCCTCTGATCTAAACCGGTTTCCTTTTCACTTATCCTCCACTCTTTGTTCTCCTCCAGCCGTTGGGGCCCAGTCCCTGTTCGCCATGCCTCGGCGGCCTGGCTTTGGCACCATGGGGAAGCCCATCAAGCTGCTGGCCAACTGCTTCCAGGTGGATATCCCCAAGATGGATGTCTACCTCTACGAGGTGGACATCACACCTGACAAGTGCCCCCGGAGAGTCAACAGGTAGGCTGGAATCATATATTTGAAAGTTTTCCTACACCTTTCTCCGACACAATATTTACATTTAGAAACTATTAAATGATATCCAATTAAAGCATGTTGCAAACAGTGAGCACACAGCGTCTTTCCAAAAGGAAAATGGCTGTTGATGGACTCATGAATATTGTTTGGGTTGAATCTGTGACCTTTTAATAAAAAAAATCCCAGTAATGATTTGTTTAATAATCTTTAATTTGACAGTTTAAACATGTAATAATTGGAATGCCAACAGTATGACTAACGATCACTGTGTGTGTGTGTGTGTGTGTGTGTGTGTGTGTGTGTGTGTGTGTGTGTGTGTGTGTGTGTGTGTGTGTGTGTGTGTGTGTGTGTGTGTGTGTGTGTGTGTGTGTGTGTGTGTGTGTGTGTGTGTGTGTGTGTGTGTGTGTGTGTGTGTGTGTGTGTAGGGAGGTGGTCGACTCAATGGTAAAGCATTTTAAGGTGACAATCTTTGGGGATCGCAGGCCAGTCTATGATGGGAAGAGGAGCCTGTACACAGCCAACCCACTGCCTGTGGCTCCTGCAGGGGTGAGCTGGAAAAAAAGTCACACAAACAAGTCTTTTCAGTACAAGCTGAATGTAAACCATATGTGTTATCAAGTGTCCACACACAATCTTAACAACTCACCATTTATTGAATCAAAACAAACCTGCAGTATATCACACGTGCCACCATGCATACATACAACACATGCACATCTTTCACAGACACTGCTTTAAACCCATGTTCACCAAATGCACCGCCTTACCTCACCTTCTTTGTGTTGTCTCACCCTCTCCCCTCCTCTCAGGTGGACCTGGATGTCACTCTACCAGGTGAGGGAGGCAAAGATCGCCCCTTCAAAGTTTCCATCAAGTTTGCGTCTCTGGTCAGCTGGCACATGCTCCACGAGGTGCTGACCGGCCGCTGCATGCCTGAGCCCCTGGAGCTGGACAAGCCCATCAGCACCAACCCGGTGCACGCAGTGGACGTGGTGCTGCGACACCTGCCCTCCATGAAGTGAGCTGTTTGACTTTATCCATGCTTTCATAAAGGTTAAGACTCAGGTTAACTCTTGTAACGACAGCTACACGCCTAAATAGACCTTTTTTTTGTAAAGTAATTGTGAGATCATGTTAAAGAATTTGAACAGAACCAGTCCAAGAAAACTGTCCGGTTATCCTTCCCTGATCTCTCTCCACCTTCCTTTTCAGTCAGCAAACATTAAGTCAAAAATAGAGAGCACATTGTAAAACCTGATCCCTCTGATATTCGTTGTACATACTATATATTTGTTTTGTCATAGCGGCACCAATATCAGCACTGTGATCCCAACGGAAATCAAACCCAGCTTATAAGGGTTCTCACGAAGCGCCAATTTCTGACCTCGTACCATCTTCCACTTTCCTAAGCCCCAGCAAGAGCACGGTTGAACCCGATATCATCAGCGCTTTAATGAAAGTCTGTTTCAGAGCATTATTAAAAAGTGGTTACAGCGACACCTTTCATTTAGCCCTGCTCTCGGACATTATTGCTTTACAATGGCATCAGGACACATTGTAAGTCCAGGATTCAACAAGAAAAATGTAGCCCCTGTATTTTTATTAATGTCTCTCCTGGGCAGAGTAATAGGAGGTGGAGGGGCCCAGGCAGTGTCTCCACCTCTCATTTCACGCGTGTAGTTTCAGGCCATATTGAAAATGTCTCACTGTTTAAACACATATTGACCTACATTCACAATTCAGGATGTTTGAACTAACCTTACATTTCCTTTCTCCTTTCATCCGCCCTTCCCTCCTTGCCCCATATTCCTTTTTTGTCCTTTTTTCACATTATTTTCTATCTCTTTTCCCTTTGCTTATGATTGCTATTTTTCTCCATCCAGGTACACTCCGGTGGGTCGCTCCTTCTTCTCGGCTCCTGAGGGCTATGACCATCCCCTGGGAGGTGGGAGGGAGGTTTGGTTTGGTTTCCATCAATCTGTGCGCCCTGCCATGTGGAAGATGATGCTTAACATTGATGGTGAGAACCAAATTCCACCTTGCATGAATGTTGCTCTGCCGGCCTACAATATTGCCTGCTAGCTATAAACAAGACTTGGAAAACAAAAGCTTTATTGCCTTCTGCCTACAGCAAATAAATAAAATATAAAGACAAATTCACTTTATTTTCTTTGTAATCCAATCTTTGTTTAAAAACGATTTATTCTCTTGTAGAGCCACACAGAGAGCTTTCTCTGCTCCCCTTTCAAAGCTTTGGAAATAACATTTTAATCATTGAACAGATGGCTTAGAATGCCATGGAGCCTCAAGGATATAGGCTATTTATTCTTTTACAGATTGACGCACACACACAATTAACTTTCAGTGATGTTATGTTTGAAAATAGTGAACATAATTCTAACGTAACAATATTAAACTTAATAGAAAGTAGAAGGCTATTTCTATTGAAATGAATGAGGTGATCATGCTTTGTCTTCACCAGGCCGGCTAAGGTGCTGTGCCAACTCAATCACTTTTTCATGAAGCAGCTGATATATGGGCATACTACAAAACATATATCAAAGATCTACCTTCATTTGCATTGTCTGTAAAGGCTGTTGAACAACTTTAGCTTGACATGATAATGGCATTGCTCCATCCCTGACATCACATGTTTTTTAGTTGACCAATAGGTTCGAAAAGAGACAATTTAGCTTGCTGAGAAATGTTTTGGAAAACAAATGGAAAAGTAAAAGATTACATTTGATAATTGGCTTTAGTGCTGGGGTAGTGTTGGTAGAGAAGTTGTGTTTGATGACCTGGAATAGTGAGCTAGAATTTAAATCCGTTATATTATGTTTGAAAATAAGTGGCAAATGGAGAGTGTGTTTTGCCAAAAGCACACTGCAGGAGGTTGTTGGAGAGTCTCTGCTGACAAGAGAGATGGTCTGTGTGAGAGGAACTTGGAGGGAGGTGGGTTGTTGCTTGGATGGGAACTGACGTGTGTGTGTGTGTGTGTGTGTGTGTGTGTGTGTGTGTGTGTGTGTGTGTGTGTGTGTGTGTGTGTGTGTGTGTGTGTGTGTGTGTGTGTGTGTGTGTGTGTGTGTGTGTGTGTGTGTGTGTGTGTGTGTGTGTGTGTGTGTGTGTGTGTGTCTGGAGTGTCTGTGTGTGTGTGTGTGTGTGTGTGTGTGTGTGTGTGTGTGTGTGTGTGTGTGTGTGTGTGTGTGTGTGTGTGTGGCCTGGGTCAGGAGGGCAGCTGTGTGTGAAGCATTTCCTTGAGACAGCTTTTGTTTTGCTCAAAGTCTTTGAAGCCTCTGTCTCCATTTGAATTTTTCCCTCTCTTATTTCCTCTTTGTCTCATTTTCCCGCCCTGTCATTCCTCGAAGTCAGTTGGTCGGCTGCTCCAGTCTGTTGTCTGCTCTCCAGCAACGAACTGGAACTCAAAGTGTTTAGATGGCATATGGTTTTCTGGAACTGCAATGCAAGCCAACACGCCTATTTAATGTGCACTAACAAACACTGCTTCCCACGCTTAGCTTCAGAGGTGATCAAAAGCGCATATAATTGATATATACCTTTTTCCATTTTAACATTTGGAAGAATAACTCATTCTCATTCGAACACTCAAGGATGTGCGCTTGTAGTGCTTTCATCAAACACCACATCAGAGAGATGTCTTTCGTCACAACAAGGCAGCCACATTATTGGTCAACAACAGCACCACTCTCCCTTAACTGCTACATTTTGGTTTTCTTTTGATCATGCTGTTAGTTATATCATACCTTTCCTCCGGGATTTAGATTTCTCTCTGATATCTTGCTTTTCCGCCTCGCCTATCATATCAAATTTTTTTCCGTGCCTCAGTTTTTCCATTTATCAAGAGATAGTATCTTGTCAGAACAAAGGGAGCCTGTCTATTTGAGAATTGCAGAATCTACATACAGATTTTGTGCTGCATGAACTGCACTTCCTGTGTTCAATGTTCCTGCTCTTTATTTAACATAGTGTGCTGATTACACAAACACTGTGATGAGCCTCTTAATGAGCTTCATAATAATTGCAGATTCAAGAAGATATATTCCTCCCTCCGTGATGATTTGCTTTTGTTTTCGAGGTTTGACTTTGTTACTCGAAGCTGTGTTTGGGGTTTGTTTTGATAAAATGTAGAGACCATTTTGAGCATATGGGCTTTTTAAAGAGTTATAAACAGTTGAACAACATTTTTTTACTACATCAAATAACAAAAATAAATGACTGTTTCTCTCTATTTTTATTTATTTTTGATTTGCAGTGTCCGCCACTGCCTTCTACAAGGCTCAGCCAGTCATCCAGTTCATGTGTGAAGTGCTGGACATCCACAACATAGACGAGCAGCCTCGCCCTCTCACAGACTCGCACCGGGTCAAATTCACCAAAGAAATTAAAGGTAAGTGTAAAATGGCGTGAATTGTATAAAAGTGCATTACTTGTGTGTGGGGTAGAGATGGAGAGTTTGAGCCAAAACAGAGACAGCACATGTCGCAGCAAATCACAAAGAAACACCTTCCTAGTGCTATTCCAACACTCTGTGATATTCACTAGGTCTGAAGGTGGAGGTGACGCACTGTGGAACCATGCGGAGGAAGTACCGCGTCTGCAACGTGACCCGTCGGCCTGCTAGCCATCAAACGTGAGTCAGCCTCCGGGTGGGCGAGGGAACGCCTCTGGGCGGAGTGTGTGGATGGGATGGGGCCGGGGAACACACACACACACACACACACACACACACACACACACACACACACACACACACACACACACACACACCACCACACACACCACAGAGGATGCGATCACAAATTCATCACCAAATAAACCCTTTAACTGCTGACTCATCTTACAACAATGCGGTTAATCTTAGTCATCCAATCGTGAAGCAGCTGCTGTGTGCGGCTGCTGACCTTCAGTGAGTCTTAACAACCCTCAGTATTATACCTCGCTGTGTGCTATCCTATAAAAGCTGTTGCGTCACCGTATTGCCATCAGAAAGGATGCATTTATAGCAAACAGGTCTCTCTTCATCACTGCTTACCTTAGATGGTGTTGTTTGTTCAACATGTTTTACTGACTTTAGCTTGATATATTCTCCATCAATTCATTACAAATATTGCAGCTTCAAGTTCAACTAATAACTATGAGTGGGCACCCTAATTGTACTATATATTTAATAATGAATCGGATCCAGTTGCCCTCATCTCTGGTGTAGGTTTTGAACCGAGTTGCTCTTTTCTCTGCAGGTTCCCTCTACAGTTGGAAAATGGTCAGACTGTAGAGCGCACTGTAGCCCAGTACTTCAGGGAGAAGTACAGCCTGCAGCTCAAGTACCCACATTTGCCCTGTCTACAAGTGGGCCAGGAGCAGAAGCACACCTACCTGCCCCTGGAGGTGAGAGAAAAACATTTGCTATTCCTCGTTTTTATGGGTTTCATTCAGGTATGCCTGGGAGCTGGGTATCATTCAGCTGAATGAACAAGATGCACATACATACAAAGCTTAAGCATTTCTACACGGTCTTTTTCTGGCTTAATAATACCTAAAACGATATTCCCCTATTTTGTGTAGGTGTGTAACATTGTAGCAGGTCAACGATGCATCAAGAAGCTGACAGATAATCAGACCTCCACGATGATCAAAGCCACGGCTCGCTCTGCGCCCGACAGACAGGAGGAGATCAGCAGGCTGGTGAGTATCCCTCCACACACACGCTGTTTCTGCACGTGTAAGTAGCAGTGTAGAACTTTAGGAAACATTCAGCTAATACTGTAGGAAAGTTAAGATGGGAGAGCTGGTTTTCACACTTATTTAAAGGCTAAATTGTCTTTCTCAATGAGCGGAGAATTGCAAAAATGTGTATGATTAAGATAGTTACCAATATGTTTTGTATCTTCTCACAGAAAATGGAACACAAAAACAAATAGCGTTTTATAAAGTCAAATTTTCCCACTAAAATGTTTCTAGTGGGCAGAACATCTTCTTCTCCTGTACAGTGCGCTGATCATACACCAATATTCAAGTAGTTAAGGTTATATAGTGCCTACTGTATGGTGGAAAGTACAATCCTTTGTTGGTTCAGACACAGCCAGAGACAAAACACTGCCTGGATGGCTGCTGTGTTGCTAAGCTTGTTATCACTTGGTTGCCATGCTGCTCATCTTGATGTCAAATGACTTGTTTTGTAATCACCTCTTCCAGATTCTCATTTTATATTGTTAACAGAGGCTTGTCTGCCTGCTTGTCATTGCATTTGGCAATTACAAGACAGCCCTACCCAGGGTGAACAGAATCCCAGAGTGGTAATGGCTTAATGTGTGAGGCTGCTACAGTGTCTGCAGCGCGTCGTTTAGAGAAAGATTGACAGCCTGCACACCGCCTCTGGCCACCATCAGATTAACAAAACAAATGTAGTATGCCGTTAACTTATTAAACCACATCTCCCTATCTCTTCCCTGAAAAGTCTCTGGACTTGCTTACAGGAAATCATTGCAGACAGCAGCGTGTTGGCGTTTTCATTTAGATGGCTTGAAACTGTCAGGGCAGTGTGGGCGGAACAGCAGAGAGACAGTAGAAAAAACCAAAAGAGAAATAGGTCCTATATGTCAGAACTATAAACTGAATTCAAAGTAAATCCAAATACCATTGGACATCTTGAAAGCTTGAAGTCATTTAGGATTAGGGTGCTGACATTTAGTGATAAATCACCAATTTCCATTACATTTGTCCTATGCACTGCAGAAGAAGCATGAAAGAAAAACAATACCCATGCAAACACAAGCAATGCCTCATTAGGGTCACACTGACGCATAATCATAATGTGTATTTTAAACAATGACGGCACAGAGAAAAGCTGTAGTGATTAAATATGTTTAATAAAAACAGTGCTGCCCTGCAATCTCTCTCAAGAGCTGTGTTAGCTTGTCATACATTAAACAGTAGGAAAAAAAAAATAATACGTTATCTCACATGTGTCAAACTCAAGGCCCGGGGGCCAAATCAGGCCCTTGGCGGATTTAACTTCGGCCCGCAGGATAATTTTTAATCACTATTAGATCTGGCCGGTATATTGCACGCACACCTTCACTCAATCCTGAGGGTTTCCTCCGCTCAGAGCCTGACCCCAAACATTGATGAACTTGCTCCCAAGATGAGACGCCAAGTATCTGGTTTGAACTAGCATCAGAGCAGCACACTGAGTTTACATGGATGTTTCCTTCTGCACTTTTTCTCTCACAACAAAAGAGCTTGTTTGTTTTCTCTTTGAGGGAAATAGTTTTTTTGAAGCTGTTGTTGGCCTGTGGAAAAATGTAATCATAAGAAATGACTCCGGAAAAGCTGCAGATAGAGCCTTAAGAAATTAATGCAACTGATTATTTAATGTTTAATGTTGTTTTTATAGGCAATAATTTAAGCTTTGTTAGTTCCAGGCCGGCCCTCGACTAGTACCCATTTTTTTTTATTTTGGCCCACTGTGTATTTGAGTTTGACACCCCTGCTCTTGCTGATGCTGTTGGAGGAATATTTTGACTTTTTGTGACTTTTCAATAAATAATTGTTCTTCTCTTTTAACTCTCAGCAAGAAAGCAAAAAAAAGTATTTCCCATAATGTCAAACTATTCCTTAAACCAAAACTAGCCACAATGAGTGAGCACGTATAGGACATTTCACTAGACCAAATGACTTTATATACCTCTCAGCACTGCAGTGTTCCTTACTCCTGCTGTATACCCCGGCCTGACCCTGAGTCACATTTTCCCGCCTCTTTTCCCTGCAGGTGCGCAGTGCCAACTACGAGGCAGACCCCTTTGTGCAGGAGTTCCAGTTCAAGGTTCGCGACGAGATGGCCCAAGTGACGGGGCGAGTGCTACCTGCCCCTATGCTGCAATATGGCGGCAGGGTGAGCACAGAGCACTTTATGGTACCCTTCCTTTAAATCACGCCCATTATCTCTGTTTGTCTGACACGCTCTCCCCTCACTTAGCTTTTGCTCCACTGTCTCTGAGGGGAACTAACACACTGGCTTCTGTTTGTGCTTCATGGTGTCAGTCTTTTTCTTTGTGTGGCTGAGTCTCAGTAGTGCACCTTTTTATAAAATATTGTGGAGCTTCCTATAAGCATTTTTTCAAATTATTTTTGAGAGAGAGATATGGGTTACGAAATGTATTTCTCTCTGTAAGAATAACTATTATGAATAAAAAAATAGAATACCCAAATCATAATTGAATAGCTTATAAAGTAGATCCGTCTTAGCAATGTTAATTTTCCTTAAAAAATGTTGCATTAGGAAGCATTTTACTGAGACTGAACCACAGTGTTGATTAACATCTGTCTGTGTATGTTTTCTGAGGAGACACACCTTTACTGTACTGTTATACCTTAGGACGTGTGCATTAGTGAGAACTATAACATCTTTGCTATAACACTGTGCTGTGCACGATGCACACACCAAGTATCATCTTGCACCATTATAGATTCACTCACATAGTGCATCCCTTTGCTCTCCAATTAAATGTAACTTGATTATATTTTTTGATTGAACCAGTAAGTGAGTTGTGTCTCCAGCACAAATCGTTTTTGCATGTTTCTTTGACTGACATGTTTCCTTTCTTTTGTATGAAAATGAGTGTTAATACATTTTGGTATGGATGAAGAGTGTGTATGGGTTCTGTGGGATTTCAGAAAGTAATAGTGTGTTTGTGTGTGTACAGAATGGAAGTGAGTACACTCTGTCTGTCCAAGCGTGAGTGTGTATGAACAGTGCGGATATGAGTGTTTGCCCACATAATCACGAGTACATGTGGTGAGACTGCAATGTTGTTTCAGAACCGCACTGTAGCCACGCCCAGCCACGGGGTGTGGGACATGAGAGGGAAGCAGTTCCACACCGGGGTGGAGATCAAGATGTGGGCCATCGCCTGCTTTGCCACACAGAGGCAGTGTCGCGAAGAAATACTCAAGTAGGATTATTTGCAAATGTTTTTTTCTTTTTTTTTAACAATTTAAAAATCCCTTTCTGAGATTGTGTTGTTTCTGTGCGTGCAGTTTTAAAAAAAAAAACTTTTTATTTATTCCACAAATATATAACATACATGGAGATGTTCATAAAAATCACACCCGCCTCAGTTTAAAGTCCACTCAAATGTACACGTTATTGCTCACATACACATACATACATTACCCCTTTCCTTCCAAGTCTTGGCAAATTACACATAAATACAGACATTCATTTTTAATTCTCTGACCTTTGCGTGGGTAGTCGGTACAGACAGGCATGCTTACAAATCCGAAACAGGTGCTAGTTGTGCGTGCAGTTTTTAAAGACATTCTTAGTTTAATATTCCAATAACTTACCTATTTCTCATTAATCTTAATGTAAGAGTTTATTTTGTGTGTGTATTTTTGCCTTAAAGGTGGGGTAGGTAAGTTTGAGAAACCGGCTCGAGATACACTTTTTGTTATATTCCATGGAATGCTCTTCCCGATAGCAATGAATATCTGAAGTGCTTTGACAAAAAAGCCATAAAAAGATTTCATCTGAGGAAGCCGTAGTACTGTAAAAAGCACGACCAATCATCTGAGCCGGCTCGGCTAAAGTAACTGGACGGCCTACCTGCCTGTCAGCCTTCCATCTGTGCACAAACTTATCTCGTGCCCTCATTGGTCATGTGCGCGTTCGTGTGTGTTGGAGGAGGGGCTCTGTAAGGAAGTCTGAAGAAAGAGGCAGATTTTTTCCGGTTGTGTATTTTCAAATTCTAGCGCACTCGAGCTGGTTTCTCCATTCTTACCTACCCTACCTTTAAGAGATTGTAATCTAGCATAATTTTCTATATTCTGTTTCAAATGATAAATGAAAGAATGGGAGCATGTCTTCAATCAGCAGCTGCACAGCCTTACATTCCATTATTATTATTATTATTATTATTATTATTATTATAATAATTTGATAAAAGAGTAGTTTTCATTGATAGTCCCTGGCTAGATTAAAAACATCCGTACTGTAAAAACTGCAAACGGCTTTATGCTGCATGGAAATTGCAATTATGCACTGGTGAAAAAACATTTCAAAATGTTAAACTTTACTTAAGAAAACTTTATTATGTCAAACATCATTGATATACCATTTGCTATTAAACAAAGAACCATATTTTATTTTGTGCTGACAGCATTTCGGCATGTGCTCATTCATATGTTGTCCACCGAACAGACCCAAGCTAGTGTTTTGACTTTCACTCAGTTCACCCTGACCTCCTGCTTCTTCCTCCTCCTGTAGGGGTTTCACAGACCAGCTGCGTAAAATCTCTAAGGATGCTGGGATGCCCATCCAGGGTCAGCCATGTTTCTGTAAATACGCCCAGGGAGCGGACAGCGTGGAGCCCATGTTCAGACACCTGAAGAACACATACGCCGGACTGCAGCTCATCATCGTCATTCTGCCCGGAAAGACTCCTGTCTATGGTCAGAAAACTGCTGAAAATAAATATCCTATCAGAGCCCAGAGATATGCTTGTGGTTAGCACTGTGTGGAAAAACTAATGCAATTCTAGCAGTGCTGATGCAGCGACAGAGCCATATTGAGAAGTGTACTTGACGGTTTATTAAACATACATTCCTTCCACCTCATATATTATATTATTTCTGTCTCTTTCTATTTTTCTCTGACTGCACATGCCCTTTTTTATTCATAAATCCTACAGTCTTCCCAGGTGACTGCTCTCTCATATCTTTAATAATGAACTATAATCATGAGCCTCCCTGACTCTCCATTTCTTTGCACTAATATCAACATTGTTGCTACTTTTGCAAGAAGGACATTCTTTTAAAACTGCTTTTGTTTCTGATGCCCACTCTTTAAACCCACCCACAGCGGAGGTAAAGCGCGTTGGGGACACCCTCCTGGGCATGGCCACGCAGTGCGTCCAGGTGAAGAACGTGGTGAAGACATCACCTCAGACCCTCTCCAACCTCTGCCTCAAGATCAACGTGAAGCTGGGAGGCATCAACAACATCCTGGTGCCTCATCAACGGTCAGTCATGCTCTGTTTTATCCTCACTGCTCTACGGTAGTGATGCAGAATTTAAATAATTTCATGGAGCTTGGTAAATTGTCCGACATTTGTAGACACCTGAAAGAAAAACCCACACGCACCATAGCAATAGATGACTTTACCATGCAAAGAAACACTCTAAATATTGTCCTATAACTCATTTGAATGAATGTCTTCGATATGTTTCTCTATCAACAGACCATCAGTGTTTCAGCAGCCAGTTATCTTCCTGGGAGCAGATGTCACACACCCTCCTGCTGGAGATGGGAAGAAGCCTTCAATTGCAGCAGTGAGTTTTTATCTCTAATTTCCACCTGAGCTTGAATTGATTTACTCTTGATTGACCCCCTGCAATCCCTCACCAACCCCCTCTTCCAGGTGGTAGGCAGTATGGACGCTCACCCCAGCAGATACTGTGCCACAGTGCGAGTCCAGAGGCCCAGGCAGGAGGTGATCCAGGACCTGGCCTCCATGGTGCGGGAGCTGCTCATCCAGTTCTACAAGTCCACTCGCTACAAGCCCACCAGGATCATTTTCTACAGGGATGGAGTTTCAGAAGGCCAGTTCAGACAGGTCAGCTCCCACTGTCTCTCTCAGTTCTCTTCAATAGGCGCTTTCACACCGGAGTACTTTTCCCAGTATAGTTCCGATATAGTTCCGAAAATGTGCGTTCACACCAAAAAAATCCGGAACTAGAACTTAGTTCAAGAGAACCTTTTCACCCCCTTTTCCGTCCCGGCTAGAGAGCAGGTACTTTTGTGGGAGAAAAAGGTTCCCATTTCTGATTGGCTGGGCGAATTGCAAACCACACCCCGTAAAACTCCCAAAAAGTTTTGTGAAGCCGCCATTTTATTTGCTGGCATTAGCATTATTAGCATTAGCCCCGCGAGCCAACAGAGAGAGACTGACTTATGGCAACACAAAATAAAACATGGGAGCGGTGGAGATGAGGAGGTGTCGGCGTTCTGGCGATTTACTCAGAAGGCTTCAGTAGAAGCTGCTGGGAGTCCCAGCAGCTTCTACTGAAGCCAGTCCCCAACTCCGGGGACTTCCGGCCGGGGACTTCGGGTGGCAGTATACGCCGTGAGGTTGTTTGCGGCCTGCCAGTAAACCCAAAGCAGAAGAAGAAGAAGAAGTGAATGTCAGCGGCTTCATTTGCCTAATCCTCCCTCAGGGAATTTATTCCGGTGTGAACCTATATATACAGTCTATGGTGTGAACGCGATCTGCTCTTTAGTTCACTAAGTACGGAAAAGTAGGCGCTTTCACACCAAGTACCAAGAAGTTCATCAGAACTCTTTACAGGGTTCTTACGGTCATTCAAAACCTGGAAAAGTCATGGAAATTCAAAATGCTAATTCGAGGCCCTGGAAAAGTTATGGAAAACAATATTTTTCCAAAAGTTTTCAAAAAGTCATGGAAATGTAACTAAAGTTGCATCAAATATAATTTATATTTTATCTAATCGCGGAAATAGTAATACTATAATAACAAGTGCTTAGAGCACCAGGAAAAGCGCTTTATAAATGTAATGTATTATTATTATTATAATGATAATAAATACTGTATCTTATACTGTAGTAATGAAACGACGAGGTATTTTGCTGGTGAGAGATTTTAGTAGCTTTAGCGTGTAGAAGCTAGCAAGCCTGCTATTGGATTTGTTTTAGATTGGCACAACATGTTTCATATGCAGACCTTATTTTTCTGTTCCTCGTTAAAATAAAGTATAGTAATTTGTTTGGTCGTGGAAAATTAGGTAAAGGTCATGGAAAATTAGGTAAAGGTCATTGAAAATCATTGGTGAAAAAGTGTATGAACCCTGTCTTTAGTTCATCAGAACTAAAGGGTCAGGGTTGGAATTCAACACCAGCTGAAGTTCTGAGTTTGTTGCAGGATTCCCTTTTACAAGTCAAAAGTTAGATGGAGACGTATGTTTTGCTAGTTTTTGGCTCTTACTGGTTGTTCACTTCATACGAGCATATTCCAAAAATAATTATTTATCACAGATGATTACTTGAGAAACATTTTTACAATGGTATTTTCTTCTATTTAAACTATGATTGTTTGCACAGTATAACTAAACACAGTGAAACATTTATATAATCAATATGTGGATGAAAAATGGACTGTACAGTCATTGAAAGAATAAATAACGTGGGTAACAGGTGACATATGAACATTTTTCATTTTTCCCTCTCTTCTCCTCAGGTGCTGTATTATGAGCTGCTGGCTATTCGTGAGGCCTGTATCGCCCTGGAGAAGGAGTACCAGCCTGGCATCACATACATTGTTGTGCAAAAACGCCACCACACACGCCTCTTCTGCGCCGACCGCAATGAGAGAGTGAGTCCCCACGACCTACCCAAACACACAGGCACACACACTCTCACTCTCTTTTAAGTGTGACCCATTAAAGTCAGTACAGTGTGTTATCTGGTAGTCCATATTCTCTTTTTTATGCCCCGTGCTTGCACGTTAAGTACTCAAAATGGGCCTCCTTAATTACCTTTTGTTGTCAATTGGCCCGTTCACCCTCCTAACCCCTGTAATTGCATTCGATTAAAACATTAGGGCCCATTTCAAACCGAGAGCTCTGGAGTGGCACTCAAGGCCCCTCGAGTAAGACTCGGATAGTAACAACCTTATTTTCAGGCTCTTTAAAGCATTAGGCTTTTAATTAGTTGATTGTGAGGCACTTGGTAATCCTTCGCCTGGCTTGGTCCATCAACTAGTTCTCTTTTCAATTATGACATTATTTTTAATGCAGTGCTTTAAAAGCCTTGTTTTCCGTGACTTTTTCTACATCATCCATTTCCTGTTGTTTTGGTTTTCACGGTGAAATTATGAGAAAAACCCATTCAAAGTGCATTAGTAGAGACTTACTAACCTTTCCTCTGCTTTTATCAGGTCGGACGTAGTGGAAACATTCCTGCTGGTACCACCGTGGACACGGACATCACACATCCCTACGAGTTTGACTTTTACCTCTGCAGTCACGCTGGAATACAGGTCAGACCCTCGTCCTGTCCTCTCTGCACAGCCAGGTTTCATCACCTTCTCTTTCACTTAAATCTGAAGGCTAAACACTTTGAGCTTCTGCCATCTATGCATTCTTGCAAAACGATTAGATAGAGGACTCAGAAATGAAAAGGCCACAGGAGAAAAAAGAGGAAATACTTCTCGTTTTTCCCTTTCCTGTTATTTCTTGAAGTTAGATTCCCAGGAGTGAAGATTAGAAGGTCAGTGAGTTTCTGCAGCAGGCTGTTTTCATCTTTAAATCCTTAACCATCATTGTGCTGTTTTTATTCTAATCCATATTAAACTGCTCTGTTTACATTGGTGTACATCAGGGCTATTCAATTGACGGCCGGCGTGCCAAATCCGGCCTTGGGGTGATATTTACTGGCCCTTTGAGTATAACGTTAAAAAGTAATATACTTTTTTTTTCTTTTCTTTAACATTTTTTTTTTTTTGTTGGGCCACAGTTTCTTTATTCCAGAGAGGGTGTTACATTGAGAGATAGAGGGGAAGACATTGCCTGAAAACGTTGGCGGTAGGGATGTCCCGATCACCTTTTTTTGCTTCCGATCCGATTCCGATCATTTGATTTTGACAATTTGCCGATACCGATTTTTCCCGATCCGATCTTTATGCAATGCATTAAGAGAAAAAAAAGAAAAAAAGCATTCAAGTTGTCCCTTAAGGTTATTTTTTTATTTAAATTGGATATTCTATCCAACATGGATATAGCTTCTTTCTTTCACAGCAGCATTGGATCAGTTCAGTTGTGCAGCATTGGATCAAAACAAAATAAAGCTTATCAGTACTCGTTAGCTTACTGCTACAATTAGACACTGCGCCCACTCTGTTGCCAGATTTGAGAGAAATAAGCAACCAGGTCTATGAAAACAAGCCCCAAAGAAGCAACACATACATGATGTTCTGTAATTTGAAACCAAAACTAAGGCCTCAGGATGGCTTTAAGACTTGAACATGGTCATTTTTGTTTTGTAGCATTGAATACAAAATGTAAAAAAAGTATTTAAAAAAATAAATAAATCCCGATCCCCGATTTTTTTTCTCCCGATTCCGATCTTTTGAAATCACGTGATCGGCTCCGATCCCCGATCACGTGATGGGACCCATCACGTGATCGGGGATCGGAGCCGATCACGTGATTTCAAAAGATCGGAATCGGGAGAAAAAAAATCGGGGATCGGGATTTATTTATTTTTTTAAANCATGGTGGTGATGGTAGGTGTAGCTCAGGCGAAGTACATGGTCCTCAGGGTGTCGTGGTGAATCTGAACGGCTTTGGCCAGCGCCTGGGGGTCCCGACCGTTACTCTGCCCGGACACATGGCTGCCCTCAGCGCTGCAGGAGGAGGAGAGGAACAGTTACGATGGATAACGTACAAAAATGGGATGCATGCAGGAAAATTGAGAATACTTTGAAAGTCTTACAATACTGTTATTAAAACGCATTAAATAAATGGTAATCAAAATGTGGCGAGGGGCCGTTTATCTGCATGTAACGCTCCAACATTCCTGCTTTAAAATTGGCAAGTTTCCCTTTTCGAACAAGTAGAAAACAAGTAAAAAATTATGTAATCGTTTCCCCTTCATTTCTCTTACTCTAAATAAAAGGGAAAGCCAAACGACTGAATACCTGTTTTCTACACTCTTAACATGTTGCACTGTTTTAATAGGCAGACATTTATTTTATTACTTATTTTCTTTAAATGGCAACTTGGATTCCCGAGAAGTTGTGTTACTGACTTAACTCATATTCCCTTTGGTTTTTTTAAATCATGCTTGCGTAACGAGATTGCATAATTTTGTTGGTGCTTAGTAATACAATGATAAGATCAAATAAACTTGATTTAAATGGTCAAATAGATGTTTTTGAGGAAAATGTTTAAATTGTTAAAATTGTCTATGGATTAGTCGACAGAAAGATAGCTGTTAGTGGCAGCTTTTGTTAATAACAGTATCAGTGTAGAGTCCAACATCTTTTCATCCAGCCTGTTCTTATTTACTCTCTCTCTTCCTCACCTGTCATGTTCTTTGTCCACCAGATGGTAGCGGGCACGGAAGGCCACCAGGTGGGCGTAGTAGGCGGGCGCAGGGATGGAGACGGAGCGGGTGCAGCGCACGTAGGTGTGGCACAACTGGTATGTGAGCAGCTGGAACTCGTCAGCGGTGAAACAATTGTCGTCCCACAGAACATGGTAGTGGGAGGGCCGACTGGTGCCCTGGGGGAAGGATGAAAGGACACATTCTTAGATTCACATTTAAGATACCATATGTTCACTGTGTAACTACAACGAGAAACAAACAAGTGGTCAAATCTAACAACTAAAATAAAACAAATTAACCTTTGAAAATCTTATAAATACATATATAAAGTGTTTGTCAGCAAAAAACAACTATAATGTACACCAGGGCTATTCAATTAGTTTGGAATGGGGGCCGGTTGATGAAAATGATCCAAAGCAAGGGGACGGGAAAAAGATGGCTTGAAATATGAGCAATCATATTAAGAGCTTCAGATACAGTAAATACTACAACAGCATAGTGGAGTGCATGCATATTGTCTTTAATTAAATCTAACAACATAGCCCCAAGGCCTTTATAGATCAAAATGGCAAGTTCAGAACTCGGTAGGCCTACATGTGAAGCTAATTTAACCATCAACATCATTTCATTTGATTTAATTTAGGTGAAATGATCTAATCATTCAAGCAGAGATGCAATAAATGACTGTTTGTCACTCCAGTAG